TTTTTTTGGTCTACTGGGTGGTATCCCCACATTCACTCCGGGGCCTCACCACTATCCTATGTCCCTACGCCAAGAGGACCTCACCAACCGGTGGCCGGTTAACCACATCTACGGGCTCGACTCAGGTTCAGGATCCACGCCCAGAGGCGTGGGACTAATCCACCCAGGAGAAACAGAGAGCCCCAACCCCATTTCTCACGATAGTCAAGTTCGATCCCACAACCTCCCACCTCCAACAGGAACTTCCCCCTCCAGTGGTTGCCATTGGACTACATGCCCTGGGGGCCAAAATTTTAAACATATGGGCTGACATTAAAATGGTCAAAGGGCTGAAAATAAATATACGCGATAAAGAGAATTCTCGATCGATTCGATTGATGACGAATAACAAATAAAATTATACGACTTATTATATTAATTAGATGACATCTAATTAAATAATAATAAGTCTAAACGAAAATGTCGAGCAATATACTATATAGACAATTAATTCGAATAATAATAATAATAATAATGCCAATAAATGATATTCGAAAATCCAATAAACGAACGGGGCATTACAGGGACAATTCAACATTGGCTTTAGCCCCCGTAATTCAGTAAGGGGAGAGGCCCTTGCTGATTTTATTGTCGAATTTACTCCGTCGATCCCTTGCACTCTCAATGATTAAGCATGGTGATGGGTTAAGAACTTTAAGTCTGTCGGGCCGAAATTATATTAATCAGACCTGAGAAAATATTATTTGTTTGGAGATTTGTTTGCAATTTCCTTATACTAATAATGAAGACGAATATGAGGCCCTTATTGTCGAACTAGAAATGGCGAGATCCATGAGTCTACGGCGGATGGAAGTTTTTGTTGATTCCTTATTGATCACCATTTTAAAGGAGAGTTAGAGTCAAGGAACCACAATTAAATCCTTATTATGATTAGTCGACTAAAAGGAAACTCCTACGTTTCAACGTGATCTCATGCACATCCCTCGGAGCAAAAATGCTCAAGTCGATGCGCTGGGCCGCCTTGCTTCCAGTACCGGGGTCGATCAGGTGGAGTATGTAATCGTCAAACACCGTGCCTATTATTGAGTTTATATAATTAAGAATTGAGTTTACGTAGCATAAAAGTTGATCGAACTCAAAACGGGCAAAATTGACTAGCTAGGCACTGTTACGTCTGTCGCAGCCGCAACAACTGTGTTGATCAGATGGTCCAGTGCGATGGCCCGTTGTGGGCTCAATGAGCTTGCGACCTGGATGCACCTATTGTGCTGAAAGATTGCTAACTCGTTTCTAGTCGCATTTTTCAGCACCATGCAAGTCCCAAAATGTGTCTTTTGACATATGAAACCCCTGAAGAAGTCCATGAACATCTAGAAATACACATGATTGTCATTTTATTCATATAATAAGATTTTAAGAGCTCTTTTTTACTATTTTACAAAGTTTATAAAGCATCTTACAGTACAGGAAAATGATGAAACTCCAATGAAAAATTTCAACAGAAATATATTTCAACGGAGTTCCAAGAGTAATTCTAGTAGATATTCCAATGCCTCTTTCTACACCTAACCTCATAATAACCCTTGAAGTGAGATACTTCCATTGGAATTTTTCATAGATTCCAATGCAAGTTCAAACGAAAAAAACTCTATTGGAATAAATTTTTAATTCAAATTTTTATTGAATTTCGATGATTCCAACGGTTGGAATATGGCCTGAAATAAAATTTTCAATGGAAATTTCATATTATAACAGAAATTTCTACAACAATAAACCATTGAAATAATAGCCATTCAAATTATAAAATTCCAACTAATCTAACAAAAATTTGATTCCAATGAAATATTTTAGTGTTGATTTCTGTTGAAAAATTTCAACGAAAACTATACCACTGAAATATCTATTGGAATTTTTTTTAAACTATTTTTTTGTTGGAATATGGTATTTTTTGTAGTGTTATGCTCTTTTAGTTCGTTTCATTCTTGATTGTTTAAAGATAAGAGATTGTCCATAAAATATTGGGTTAATAACTTTTTCCCATCTGAACTTTCACGTTTTTGGCGCATCACCATATGAACTTTTTTTTTTTACAAACCACCATCTAAACTACACGAATTTGTCACTTTGCCATCTCAAACCAGTATTAAAGTAGTTTTTGTCAAAAAAAGTTGATTTGTAAGGGTATTTTAGGAGTTGTATATGTTTGTCACCCCTCTTTGACCAGATCACCATTTCTTCATCGTTCTTCCTAAATCAGATCTGAAAATTGGCCTGCAGCAAAAAAGCACATCTCCAACAAATCGCCCCTCATCTCCTTCCTTAAAAATTTCCGTCGTCTCTCTCTCTTCTTGGCGGAGACGAGCAGCAACAAACTCGGCGACCTCATCCTTCTCGTCTGGAGCAGCGATTTTGGTGACTTTTCCCGCAGCCATCGTCTTCTCCGACCATCGTCTGGCCGCCTTGAAGCCAACACCTTCGAGAGCTGCGTTTTCCGACGGCAAGAGCATCGAGATGGAGCCCTGTCTTCCGGCGACTTGCCGGCGAGCAGGCGCGGCGAGAAGCCCTACGACTCTACGAGGTGGATGCTCAGGCTGAATCGTGGTTCACGTCGCGAGTGGGATGGCGACGGTTGGGGCGGGATGACGGCGACTCGACGGCCCGTATTTCATTGTTTTGGGCTTCGTGGTTCACGTCGCGGGTGGGATGACGGCGACCCAGCGGGTTATTGTTGGTGGCGTCGAATTTGGGGCTGAGATTGGCAGTGGGATGACCGACGACCGAGCAGCGAAATTCCGGCGACGACCTGACAGTGTTGCAAAACTCGAAGGAACACTTGAGGATCGATTAGACAACACAGCCTGAAACTCGTCCGGGTAGGCGGAGGATCGGAGAAGGCACTTGAGGGTCGATTAGGTGTTGCAAGAGATACGGTCGGAGAAGATAAACCAACATCTTCATTTTTTAATTTTGTTTTTATTTTCTTTTGGAAAATATATGATATTACAGAAATACCCTTAGAAATATGTTTTTTTTAGTGAAACCCACTTTTATATCCGGTTTAGAGGCCAATTTGACAAATTCGTGTAGTTTAGATGGTGGTGTGTAAAAAAAAAAGTTCATATGGTGATGCGCCAAAAACGTGAAAGTTCAGATGGGAAAAAGTTATTAACCCTAAAATATTATTTGTATTACATCATTCGTAACATATGCATATTCACTAAATTGTTCCTTTTTAATGTTTTTTATACTCTAACATAAAATCGATGTAGTAAAAAATATGATATTTATAAATTAGATAAGATACTTTAGTAGGTGCATTAAATATTTTACACTTATGGAATAAAATATATTTTATTTATAAAACTCTTAAAATAATATTTTCTCTTACATTTAAAAAAATCATTTAAAATTACCAAATTGAAACTTAACGTCATATGTAGAATAATATTAAATAATATATCTAAGAATTATTTATTTATTTATTTAGGGCTTGCTTGTTTACAAATTAATCTACTCACATTTATTTAATACTCAAAATTTAACACAACTTTAACTCAACCTCACTATCTTTAATATTATTCATATAATTAAATAATACAAACTAATGATTCTTACACATCACATCAACTTTAATTCACTATTCATCCACTCACATAATTTTAACTACCTATCATTTCCAATAATTTATCACCTACTTTTACATCAAATCAATTTTAACCATTTTATTTTAAATATTATTTTAATACATTCTTAAAATTCCACTAACTAATCATTCCATCTTTTTCAAAATTAACTATGGTTAACCAAAATAACTCATTTTGAATGGATTATTTGATAAATAAGCGCGCCCTTAACATTTTAAAATTTGTGTGGATAATCTTAATCTTTTTGATATGTGTAAAATACTAACTCTTGAAGATAAAAAAAAAATTGTTAATGTAAGAAATTTAACGGGCATATTCATAACTATTAAGCGGAATTGAATTAACCCTAAGCATGTAATTCTATCCGTTCATAGAATATGGATCTTTGCATAAATTAAATTGCACATAGAACTTACAAGAATTCAGTTTTTAGTCCTTCCTTGTTTTCTTGATTGATGAGGTTGATCCACGATCCTCCTTTCCGTAATCTCTAATGATGAGTTCGTCTTTGCCTATGAATCGTTTCTCTCTCCCGCGTCTCTCGTCTTTCCATAAAGCCCTTGATGTTGAGAACTTTATTTTCGTATGAGATGGGAGAGAGGGGCATGTAGTATATATAGGAGGAGTCCTACAAACCTATGCCTACTAACATTCCCCATGTTCTAACCTAACTTACTGTCCAAGTCAAACATCACAAATTGGACTCTTTAATATTAGAACATTAAATAATTCATTAAATACATATTCACCTTTAATAAAGTTTGACTATTAATTCAATTAGGTCCAACTAATTATACGGTCCACAATAATATAATAATATAAATATTATTACATTCTCCCACTTGGACCATATAGTGTCGAAACCAAAAGAACTACTTTAAGCGCGCACCTTTCATCAAACTTATGATTGAATACATATATCTATAAGTTTAGAATAAAATAGAAATTAACCGAGTCATGGCGGTCACAAGTCTTCGAGCGACATGATCCCTTCCATGTACCACAAATCATTTCTAATTCAACTTTATTTTAATATGGACCAAACTATTCGTACCATAACCATAAGCCATCCAACTTTTATGTATATACTATAAAATCAAATATCCATAATGATGGTATTAAGTGTGAAGAATCAAACATCTTTAATTGAATTCAATAAGTGCCAAAATCAATAATTGAGCAATTTCATTCAGTATCGGTCAGTCCAACAAGGCCCCATTCGTTATTCCCAATTTTCTTTATATGCCTTGCAACGGCTATAGGGAATAACCCTTTAATCGATCCACTTTCATGCAATTAGTACTAAAATGCTCAAATGACACTTTATTTCTTCACTTATATTTTACGACCAAGTATTTAAATTTTATGTGATTCACACCCTTTGAATACTTGTCATACCTTTAAATATTATTGCTACAATGCTACGATAATTCTTAGCAGCTTGGACAAGATGTCGACATTTCCATGTCCTAAGATAAAGCACCGTAGCCCTAAATTTGACTTGTGGCCTCAAAGCATACCACAAACTCAACCCTACACCGTGGAAGTCGCGATGATGGACTTTTGTTCCACCTTTTCATAATTTTGATCCTTTAGACATTATGAGCAAAAGTCTGAATCCGAGTATCCAATTATAACCAATAATTTGGATCTTCTATAAGTTAGCATGTGTTCTTTAATGCCTTGTAAGTACTTTAAAAATTTCTTTGCAGCATAATCATTTAAAATCATTTTTATAGTTGTTTAACGTACCAACAACAAATATATTATCAAACCTAGTACAGGTTCGTCTCGCTTAAGACTCCTAATCATTTATATCTAAGAAATTTCCTCTATCACTTTTCATTCCATTTCACCTTTCGAACATTTATTTTAGACTAAATGTGTCCCTTTTATGAATTGGAATTATACGGAACCACCATCCATTATCTCTCAAATAAAACTTTTATGGGATAAACTTTTAGTCCTTGTGATCTATTTCATAATATTTCTATTCCAATTAGCAAGGACGTTTCATCCACATCCTTTATTTCATAATTTTTTAGAGAGATAATACTTTACTTCGTGCAACATGTCCACATTATTAGCAACTATAATATGTCATCGACATACGAAACTAAATAACAAATCTACTCCCACTGACCTTAATGTAGATACACCGATCTACGGTATTCTCTACAAAACTACAAGCAGTGGTGGTATCATTAAACTTAAGATACCATTGACGAGAGACTTATTTTAGTCCATATATCGATCTATTCAACTTACACACTAATGTTTCATTTCTTGTGATCTAAAAAACTTTTAATTAGTTCATGTAGATCTCCTTTTAAGTTTATCATTTAGAAGGTGATCTTTATGTCCATTTGATAAAACTCAAAATCATACAGAGCCACCATTACCATTACAATTCTCAAGGAATCTTTTCTTGAAACGAGAGAGAATGTTTCCTTGTAGTCAATTCCTTCCTTTTTTGGTGTAACCTTTAGCAACAAGTCAAACTTTATATCTTTCGATATTACCTTTAGAGTCGTGTTTGGTTTCGAAAAACCCATTTACACCCAACTCATTTAGACCATTCAGGTAATTCTACTTAATCCCAAACTTTATTGTCATCCATTATTCTTTTATGGCATTGATCAACTTTTCAGAATTTACACTTTTCATGGCTTGTGATTCATCAACCATAGGTTGTTCTATAATTTCTTGATTGCTTGTGATGATTCATTATCAAGTGAGTTTGGATCGTTTTTTTATTCATCTAAGTTACATGACGATACTGTAACTAAAAGAATAACAACCATTGATGGACACTCGGGTCTGGACTGTTCAACCTGAGTTTCTTTAACATCCAAACTTTGCAGTTTCAAACTCCCACTGATTTGAACATTTTCAATGAATCGAGCATTGTTGGAATCAACTATTCTCGTACTATGGTTAGACCTGTAAAACTTATATCCATTAGAACATTTCGGATAGCCAATGAATAACCACTGACTGTCCTAGGAATAAGTTTCTTTTTATGTGGATTATATACTTTTATTTCTGCTTGACACCCCAAATATGAAGGTGCCTCAAACTAGGTTTCCTACCCTTCCATAGTTCATAAGATATTTTAGGAACTACTTTACTAGGAACCTAATTTACTCAATATGCAGCAATCTTTAACACATGCATCCACATAGAAAACGCTAATGTTGAATTACTCAACCATATCCTTTTAAGTACGATTTATCCTCTCAACAGCACTATTACGTTGAGGGGTCTCAATTATAGTGTATTGCACACAAATATTTCAAATCTCAAGAAACTTTGAAAATGGACTAGATCATTATCCTCTTTTATTGAACTTACAATAATATTCACCAATCTAAGGAGATCTTACAACTTTTACTTATTTATCTAACTACCTTTCCATCTCATCATTGTATATTTTTGGATAGTCCAATGATTGAGTCATTTCATGTAGTAGATAAATATAACCATAACGTGAGAAATCATTTACAATGGTGATTAAATACTTTACATCACCCCACAAAGGGACGTTGAATAGACCACAAAAATTAGTGTGAATAAGTTATAAAATTTTAGTGCTTCTCATGGCAGATCTCTTTAATGTATGCTAGTTTGCTTTTCTTTAATTCATTTTACACATACATCTTGATCACTAAAATCTAAATGAGAAATGGTTTCATTATTCACCATTCTCAAAACTTTTCTTCAGAGATGTGACCATAATCTTTAATGCCATAAGAGAGTATAGTATTCATTATGTGCATTACGTTTAA